ATAGTTTAATAGAATTATTAGGTAAAATAAAAAAAGCGTTCAAAAAAGATAAAGAAAAATCATTACAAAGAAGGATAACCGTCTCATGTTTTGTTATTGATTTATTGAGGGGGGTGGAAGATGGGGGGGGGAGAGAAAAAAAAAAGGGAAAAAAAAAAAAGAGGGGGGGGGGGGGTAGGGGGTGAGAGCGAGCGAAATTAAAGTCCCGCGAAAAAAAAAAGGTGCCGTGAAAATTAAAGCCGTGAAATTTAGTGACCTATCTAAAAACCTTTGCGTCTGCTTGGGGTCGAGTATACATACGAGTATGATGGCTCAAATTTCAGTTCAACTCATGTCCTTTAATATTCCTCATCATCTGACTAATCTTGCGGATTTAGTTCCTTTAACACTTCCTCAGTACAGTCTTCAAATTTACCATTAAAATATATCCTTCATAAAGCGCAGATATGTTTACAACCTGGAATTCGGCCGAAGTTTAGAAACAAAGGGAGTCGGGAAACAGCACTGATAAGATTGAGGCTATCTGTGCTGAAGGACCTGAAGTCCTTACATGCCACCTGGCTGGTGAGCCTTAACAACCACTTGACAGGAAGTGTGGGAAAGCGGAACATTGCAAAAGGATGGAGCAAAGCGGGAATACCCGAACTTTTTCAAGGAAAGACAACCTTATCACCTGAAGATCTATTTGAAAACATTGCGGCGATCATTATCTAAAAGCTAATTGGCAGCGCCATCGAATTGAGCATAATTGAGCATTTCAGCCAGTTGCTTGTTGCGTTTCTATTCCGTTATGGTTAAATGAAATGCGGAAATGGAAATTCAAAAAACGAGCATCAGTGTACTTGATTCGCGAAATTTAGTTACCTTGTAAAACAGTGATTGGTCAAAATCGCGAAATCTAAGTCCTGCGAAATATTTTATTCCAAATTCGCCAAATTAAAGTCGTGTGAAAATAAGTGATAATAAGATAATTTCCTGACTTAGGGGTCTTAACAAATGGATGCAAAAACTCTTTTCACGAGGACTCTTCCAGATCCTCATGATATGTTTTTTAAAAGCAAAGGCTTCGATAGACTTGCTACAAGTCGACCTCTGTTGACGAGTGGAGCGAGTCTTTTTTTGGCCGCGAAGCGGCCGACCGCGAGCGACGAAGTCCCGCGCCATATGAAATCCGACGAAGGACTTTTTTGAAAGTCTAAGGTTTCGACTGTCTTACACACAGTCTTCATCAGCGAACTGACAATTTTCAAAGTGGTCAGGTGATTAACTTGTAATGAGTCACTTGACATCAAGGGAGAAAAAATAGCGGGTCTAGTTCACAGTTCTCGATTGGGCACCGGCGTCTGCTGATCAACTGTTGATTTGCTACACCAGGCCATCAGACGTCATCATCCATATCACGTTGATCACGTGATAACCAAACAATTCAGTTTGCCGCAGAATACCGCTCCACTTAAGAAAGCAGTCAAAAATAGGGTACAATACCATGGGGAACGTTGTAATAGAGGGCAATTCATAGCACTGTGGAATACCACGTTTTAAAATCGTATATAATCGACTCTCTAGGACCCACAAATTATTTTATCACGCATTACACGAAAGAACCTAAAATTTTAGTGATATGAGCTGTTCTTTTAGTTTCTGAATGGTGATTTTGAAGTATTTCGTATCCGTGGTGTAGTTAACGTGCAAATCTGTCACCGAACCACCATGGTGCAGCAATGGCTAAAATCATTCTCCCGTTACCAATCTGGATTTATCCTTTAGAATTGCCTCTTGATCCCATTGTTTTTATCAGAAAGTGGTTTTGTGACGGGTTTATGGATGACTTGAGACCATTGGCCGTAGACCTTACTTGATCCATCTTACTTGGAGTGGTCTCAAAAGTTAATGACCTAAGGCAGACTTGACCTTCGTTCAAGTAATCTACTTTTTATTAGCTTTTTATTGCATCAAGGCTTAATGCCAAGTCTGATAGTTTAGTTTCATGGCATCGAGAACCTGGTGCTACTGTTGATGCTTTCAGTATTACCTGGGCTAATTTTAATTGTTACGCTTTTCCTCAGTTTTAGTCAGCTATCTCGACTTTCGGCCAAAGAAAAAGGTAACCAAAACGTGTCCTAAGCCGTCTTCGCCATCTCTGTACGGTTTTATTTGCAGTCACTCGTAAGAAAGCCACTGATGTTATAAAGACTCCTTCCAGTCACTGCGCCGCCTTGTTAACGCCTGTTGGCTCGGATCTCAATGACGGAAGAAAAATTAAACAGCGCTGTCACCTACTTAGGCAGCAGAATGAAGTAAAATGCCCATAGTAACTTAGTAGATGTCATGGATGGAGTCTTTCCTTCAAAAGAACCTTTTTCAAACAATGAATATCTGATTTTGGGTGCAAACTTGAGTCGATGTAGATTTTCTTGCCGTTGGCAAACTGACCAAAACAACTTTTCCAATGGCTTATGAGGCCAAAAAAGGACGTCTTACCTTCTCGTTTTATGTGATAAAAAGGTTCACGCAAATATTTGTAAAAGTTAATCAAAAAATTAAAAATAAAAGGGTGTTAGAATCTTATTATAACCTTTTTTACTACCAGTTATCATCTTTGGCCGGACTTACTCTTCTCCGAAGCCACCCCTCTTCTATGAAGGGTGTTTTGAACTTTGTTATCACCGATGCAATCGACAGTCAGTTCTGTTAAAGCTCTTTAGAAAGCTAAACTCCGGTGGTGAACAGGTTTCCAAAACGTTAGTTATGCTTAATTATTGACTTAAACCTACTCTATCATGTCAAAAAATAGATTTTCTTTCAAAAAAACACTTTTTTTAAAGACATGAACTTTTATTACTATAACAAAATGAGACATGCTATAATTCTTCGAAAAGAAAATGGGTCCTGCTTGAGTCGAATCGGCGTACAAAATTGCTTGTAATCAAACTGATAAAATACAATTTAATTTCCTTTTAGTGACGTTGGAAAGATTGTTGACCCTTTATTTTTTTACGGCACGATTTTAAGTGGGTACCAAGGTCACACATGTACAAGATGATTCTTAAGTTAAGAAAGCTGACAAACATTGTTTTAAAGAATAATACAAAGAATGGTAAAAGAGGGTCAAAAACGAGATTCACCCTGTGCAGATTCACCTGATCGGGATTCGGGATCGGCACCTGATCACAGTAGTATCCCTAATAAAGAGGTTAAGTTTATATGAAATTACTCTCTGGGGCCGAGATTTCGTGTCCGTTGTCCGTATTAGAGAGAGTCGGTATTATGGATTTTTTTTTTAAGAAAATATATGAGAATTTCTCGGGACATTGGAAACTGTCCGTAATAGAGAGGAGTCCGTATTAGAGAGGTGTCCGTACCGAGAGGTTCGACTGTATTCTTTTCTACCACTAATTATCATGTGAAAGGTTTAAATCCAGGGGTCATTTCAAAAGTAGGTCGAGTTTCATCGTCCTGAATAGAACTGTTGTTGTTGACACTGACTAATGTTTCAACAACCTGTGCGGTCATCTTCAGAGTCAAGGTAAGTTGTATCACGTCAGTTGATGGTATTATACTCTGGTTATAGAGCCATACTCTGGTGGTAAAAAGGTTACTTTCCAAAATGTTAGTTTTCTTAATCATTGACTTAAAAATACTCGGTAATTTCAAAAAAAAAATTCTTTCAAGAGAAAACCATTTTTAAAGGCATCATTTTTTGACACTTTCAAAC